ATCATTATTAAATATATTTGTGCACTTAAAAATACTAGAGAAATAAAGTCGTTAATAAATATCAATCTGCTGTGATATATGTCCCCACATTATCTTACTGTCTATATATTCAAGCTGATCACACTGTTAACAGAAATTAAAAGTCTTAAGAAGCCATATTATTCTTAAGTGTTTTCTTTTTACTCACAATCAAAATGCTCTAATCAAAAGGAATAAAATATTTTTGATGGAGGCTCATTGGAAAAAATGTTTTATGTTGTTTTCTCTGCATATAAAAATAGTTTCACAACAAACACCCTTTGAATTTGATGAAACTGAAAATTCTGGTGGATAATAATTAGAATTTTATATCAGAGGATACAGCTATCGGTTTTTAAAATGGCTTCTTTTATATTTCAATTAAGTTTATGAAACTGAAAAACTACAAAAAAGGGAAAAAAAACTACTTAAATTAGTGTAGATTAAGTGGTGACCATTATTGCAGGGGAAAAACTATGTCAACGAAATGGCTCTTTGTTTTGTTGCAAAAGTGATAAAAACACAAAAGTCAAATAAAACTGTTAAAATAAGTCTAGTAATTACCAAGATCAAAATCCAGTGGCTTTTTATTAAACATGAACTTTTGTTCTGCCTTCTGCAATACGTAAATAGTGCTGACAATTGGTTTGTGAGGCACTTACTACAATAAAATGTAATTGTATCATGAGAGAAAGGTGACAATCAGGAGATCATGAAAAAATTACATATTCTCACTGGTAGTTAATTAGCCATGCAAAACCTCCTCAAACAGATATTCTCTTCTATTAGGAATGATTACTATGCAGGCCTACAGATGTCAATACCACAGTCATTCAAATACTTCTTTTCCTACTAATTGAAGGTTGTAAAGCTCTGGTGCCAAGGTTTTGCTTCCAAAGAGCTAATTTATGACTAGAAGGATATTTTATGTCTTCAGTTGCAACAGCTACAAAATTCAGCAAATCAGAACCATCTGTGCACTGATACTTGACTCACCATTCATCTAGCAGCCTATCAGTCACATTAGTTTGCATCCTGCATTCTTGGCTCATGAACACTTGTGATGATCCAAAGTTCATAAAGAATATTAAAAATGAATGGCATCCTGACCCTACCTTATTGTACACATATAAGGGAAAAAATGCCCTCCACACTTTTTTTTTTTTGCATATGGACAGTGTCAAGGAAGAAACAGACAGTTAGTTGTCTGTCCAGTGATGTTGCTAACAGCGGTCTCAGATTTCTGCCACCCTCTTAAAAACGTTTGAAGTTCTAATTCTTTTGTATTGTTTTAAGTTCTGATTCCTATCTTTTTGTTTTTCAGTCAATGTGAGGGAGTTTGTTGGAAGACAGCAGAGTAAAGAAGGAGGTGTAACTTTAAAAAAATGATAGCTCTTCTTTTCCTAAAGAATTGTTTTCATATATTGAAATACCAGGGCATAATAATAATCTGGTTAAATCTAAGACTATTATCACCATCAAATCATGGCCAAACTGGTAGGCAAAAACAGAGGACAATGCCTGAAGAGAACTGAAAAAAAAAATAAAGGCCTTCATGAATAAAGTCGCATTAGCCTTTAACCTTACCCTAGTCAGATCTCTATGATTATTTTTCTCTAAGAGACGATAGGTCTAAAGAACTTTCAATAAACTTTCTTGGTGCTGAATTAGGGGAAATAGGAATTAAATATAAGGAACAAAAAATTTCGTTGTCAGATTCATTTTGAGGCCAAGCGTCATAGAAGTAAATAATCAAAGGATCCCAGGGATCACAGTACTTACTTTTTGATTGTTTGGAGTATATACATTTATACTCTGTCCTTTAGTGGAAAATTCCAGTGGTCCTAAAGGTATTGCACCTGGGTTCAGAATTTTCTTGAGCACTTGATAGTTTGGCTTTTCATCATATGCTAAACGATAAGCACTTTCCAAGAATTGGGCGATTTCACCTGTGAAATATTAAAATTTTTATACTTCATTCATAATTGGCAAGAATTGTCAAGATTCCAATAATCTCAAAACCTTTTTCTCTTAAACATTTACACACACACACACACACACACACACACACACACATCCAGAAGAAACTAAAAATGAACAATTTAATGAAAAGAACTTTTTAAATGATACTCAAAAGTGACTGAAATATACTGACCTACAGATTTAACAAGATGGGACAAACTGGTAATTCTTTTACATATCTTTGTTGATATGTTTACAATTCACTAATCTTATGAGAGAAGCAAATTTTAATAATTATAGTTAGTGATTTTGATTTATGAGGTGCTATTAAGGATTACATAAATATAATAGACTATACATGCTTCATACTTTCTATGTTGAACTTTAAAAAATCAGTTAAAAACAAGTGTTACTTATTATAAACCTCCTTACTTCAAAGGAAAAAAATTATTGCAAGTTTTAATTAAGGCTTTAATTTGGGGATTATAACAGTATTATTTAGAAATGACCTTGAATTCCATATTGCTAACCATGATTGATTTTAGAATGCATGAAACGTCCCTCAAGTCCTCCATACCCAGCTAGCCTGGTGCATTCAGCACAGACTTCTCGATTTTAGACCAGTAGCATAAGGAGTTGCCACCTTTTGTTTTTTTCTCTAACTTAAAGAAATGTTTCCCTAGAATTACATAGTAATCTCACTTCTCCAAAAAAAGTTATGAACTACCAACTTTTAAATACAAGTAGAATTAGTAACCAAAAGTTACAAACATAGCTGCATTAAAATGTTCATAGTTTGCATTTTTGTTTGAGGCGGAGGTACAATCTAATATTGGGATAGTAGTGATAATACTAAATACTGTTCAGAAACTGGCGTGTTTTCATTTGTTCATAGATGTGTTTAGATATGCCTTTTCCCTTCTAAAACTTAATAGTGACCCCAATACAAGTACCTCTTATTTTCTCACTTAGTTGTTTATATCCCAAGGTGGAAAAATCTGGGAAGCTTCATGGGTTGGCAGAAGTGATTTCCTAATCCTTCACTTCCCCTCCAGGCCTACCTCCATTCAAAAGGAGAATTGCAGAGGCACTGGGTTTCACTCCCTATAGGGAAAAATTCCAAAAGGAATAGTCATCATTCCTTTCTCCCTATTAAAGTTAGAGTAACCATTTTACAACATTGAGTCAAGAACTATGTTCCAGGAATATGAAACTAATGTGGTTAATACGAGAACTCTTGTCTCTGGACTTTTTTTTTTCCTAGACATTATAGCAATTATGCAACCTACTATTTTCCTCTCTAATTTATGAGATATATAAAATTCTGTTATCTAGCATTCAGTCAACCACATCTCTGTTAACTAGCAACTGCTATTGCTTTATCACCACATTTATAACTGATGTTTCCTGGAGGGAAGAATCCAATTCCTAAAAGGATGACCAAAATGAAAAAAAAAATGACATTCACTACCATTTTAATATAAATATTGTTGTTTGGTCCTTTGAAGATTGGTACGCCAAGTTATGTATGTATTACAATTCCATTTATCAGAACGTTCCAAATGGAGAAGAGAGCTGACTATGTTGGGAACAAATCACTGTTACAAGACAATAAGAAAACTCCTGGCATTCCACCAACTGATAGCTGTGCTGCAAAGCCCTCATGGGGCTGGGGTTTGGAAAAGTGAGGTACCAATGAGGTAGAAGAGGGAGAAAACAAAAAGAGCCACCTACTTTATAAATTTATTATTATAAACCTGAATCTTAGACTATTACGATGTAGTACTGATTTAAATGTTAGCCTTTCAAGATCTGGATTTATTATATTAACTACATTTTTAAATTTACTAGCATCTTTCCAGAGCTATAAAACAACATGCTTTGAGTAGGATGAAATTATGATATTCTTGAATCATCTGCTTTTTAAGCCAGTGAAATATTAAGTATCATTACTATGATTTCAAGACATAGAAGCTTTTTTTTTTTCTTGAGACTCATAGGGTCTCACTCTGTCGTCCAGGCTAGAGTGCAGTAGTGCCATCATAGCTCACTGCAACCTTAAACTCCTGGGCTCAAGTGATCCTCCTGCCTCAGACTCTCAAATAACTGGGACTAGAGGTACATGCCAACACTCCTGGCTAATTTTCCTATTTTTTGCAGAGATGGGGTCTTACTCTTGTTCAGGCTGGTCTCGAACTCCTGGCCTCAAGCAATCCTCCTGCCTCGGCCTCCCAAAGTGCTGAGATTACATGTGGTGGCATGAGCCACCGCACCCGGCCTTGAAACTTTTGAAACCATTATTACACTGACTTAGACATGCATGCTGCAAACTTCTTGGCTGTTTTATTTCATAAAATGCCTTAGTAATAAACCTTTTGTAAATCAGTTCCTTTAATTTTCATGGTGTGTTTGTCCTAAGCACAACCTCCTAATTTAAGAGATTATTACTTATTATTAAAGTTTCAACATTTTGTGCTTTAAAAATAGAAATATGTATTTTATAATAGTACAGACTCAAATAAATGATTTGTACTGAGAAAGGAGAACTTGGTGTCTTTCCCATCCAAATTTCTCATCTAACTCAAATCTTAACTCATCTCTAACAATAGAAGAATCACACAATATACAATGGCCCACAATCATTTATCTTGTACAATCCAGGGAATCAGGTTTTTTTTCCTAATCCTAAATTGAACAGTTATCTTTTGTATAGGAGGGACAAGAAAGGTAAGGGAGATATATAATTAAAACAATAAATGGCATCTCCCCATCTCTCTTTCTGTCCCACTGATTAAAACATAAACTATAGACTTGGTAAAAATGCCAGTAAGATTATGAGCCAAAAAGCAATACTATCATTTTGACCAAGTTATTTAATGCAGGTACAAAAGCAAAACTTTCATCTTTCAACCCATCTCTCCAAATAAGAATCTCCCTTGTTTGGTGGCCTCCATCAGAAGAAAAGTACTACAGAAAGGGGAAAGCAAAAGAGTCACATGAGGACAGACTTATGGCACTTCCGAAATGGACGTAAGAAATAGAACTTGTTTCTTCCTCTTTTACTTCCTATCCAAATGGAAGTTCTGGTTTCTAGTCACAGAAGGGCTGTGAACATAAATTTAAGATGACTTAACTCTACTTTTCAACTCTCAGACAGAAACTGATGCTCTTTGACGTGCTAGAGACGGTCAGTGTATGTATCTACTTTCAGAAGTCAACTAAAAACTAACTTTGAGATTGCTCAATGTAAATAGAAAACAAGATTCACTCTGCTTATTTGTCTCTGTGCAAAAGCAAGCCTGACAGCAGGAGCCGACTTTTTTCCTATAAGACAATCTAACTCAATTGTTAAATTAGTGCTGAATAATGTGTCAGGCATACATATACAAATGACAGGAAGTTAGGTAATTCCTAGTTGACTTACTATTTTATACTGATAACATTATCCATTAAAGAATTCCAAAAAGCTCTATACTAACTTGAAAGAGAAAACCATTTATGAAATATACCTCCAAATCCCAAAATCATATGTCCTTGCTAATCAAAAAATTTTTGCTGGCAATTCCGTCACAGCATAACCCAGGTCTAAACAGCATTCAAGTGTTTAATGATTTGGTTTTTTAAATTATTGATTGAAAGTAGTCTTTCCTTAGGTCGACTTTATCTTCTTTCAATAATATATTAACAAACAAAAACAGAAAGTCTTAACTCTAGAAACACCAGATACAATTGACTATTAAACCTGTGCATGATTCTCAAATATATATTTTTTAAAATGCAATCAGCAAAGCCTAGAACTCCACCTAATTATTTTCTTACTGGGTTCTTGTGTTCTATTGTCAAAAATGATCTAAATAAACATTCTCTTCTCTAGCAACCTATCTGCAACCCTGAAGAGATTCCTCCTACCCTGATGGGAATAGGAGTGGGCAGGTTAAGCAAAAGCTACAAAACAAGAGTGACAAATGTGGTGACCTGTAAATCATAAAAGAAGGTAGAAGTTATCATTTGACTTACAGCAACTGCTTCCAGAAGGAGCCCATTTTAGCACTGACTCAGGGAGCTCATCCAACAGACTAAAACAGAGTAAAACACAATGAATTTGTTTTCAGTCCCGTGATTCATTGTTTTGATTAGAAAGCAAAACTCTAATTCTATGTTGGTAGGTCACCGAAATTATGATTTTCAATGCTTTTGTTACCCCACCTATAATGAATGGGTCAGTAGAAGTAGGAAGATCTCTTAATTCCCATTGATTAATTTTATATTAATCACCTAGAAACTAATGTAGGGGCAGAATGGTGTGACACTTTCTCTCACCCATCATAATAAGGGTCACTGCTAACACTCCTATAACAAAAGACAGGTTAACAAGAGGAAAGCATAACAAATTTATTTAATCAAAGTTTTACACAACATGGGAGTCTTCAGAAATGAAGACTTAAAGACACAGGGAAAATTGTCTATTTTTATGCTTAGATTCCATGAAGAATGGACAGCCACGTAGAAATGTGATTGGACATAGAGTATGATGTAACAATAAACTGGTGGGGTTGGAGGGAGACCCAGCAAGGCCTCTTGGCTTCTGTGTGTAGCATTCCTTCCTCTCAGGACCCCTCTGCAATGAAGGCCTGCAAGGGAGAAGGGAGAGAGCAACCTTTTTGGGGGGAGATGAGTTCTGGTTTCCATGACCTGTCTTGAGGAAGAGGAATTCTGGTTTCTATGACTCACTTGGGAAGAGAAGGAAGGGTGGGAGATAGGAGGGCAGAAAGTCAGAGAGACTTTGCTTCTGAGGCTTTCTAATCTGCTTTAGCTGAAAGTACTCAGCATGCCAAAGCGCTATACTGTGGTGGTATAGTTTTCCAAAGCCCAACACTAAACGATGTATAATTATAGCATAATATAAATGCTTTAACTCAAATTTGTACATGTAGAAATGCAGAAGTAGGGATACTTGTCATAATTTCTGTGACACAAATTTGTATCTAAAAACCATAATAAAACACTGTATCTAATTTTTGGGATATTTTTCCTCCGGTATTTACCATTGGACAAGGGTTAATTATTCATATTGTTCTCCATTGGGCAGCGTTTTATGCTGTCCTACAATTAAACAGGTTTAGGTTTTGGGGATGCTCAACCGGTAAGTACAATGCAAATATTCCCAAATCCAAAAAAATCCCAAATCTGAAACACTTCTGGTCCCAAGCATTTCAGGTAAAGGATATTCAACCTGTATAAATATTCAACTAAAATTATTGATATGAGTGAGTGATTCACAAACTCAGGCACAGGCAGAATAGCAACAATAAATGCATTGATCTAATATCACCCTGTCAGGAAAATAAAGGGCATAAGGGAGATACAGTGTTATGGTTGAATATGCAATCATGCCCTTATGGGGAAAATGTTATACTTTCTCAGCAAATTGAATAAATTATTATCATGTATTATATATTAAAAGAAATTTGAAAATGCCTACAGTTTATCTGAATTATAAACTGTATACTGATAAAGGAGTATAACAATTCATATTTGTCTTCTTAAAAGAAAAATATACATATAATCATCAGAATTAAAATGCTAGCCTTTTAAATAACAGTATTACTTTATTATATTATTCAAATTAAGTAAACTGATTTGGAAAACTAGATACCAAAACTGTTTATATATGTCCATTATTATGCTTTCATTTGACCTAGACTTCAAAAAATATCAGTTACATGAGGGTTAACATGAGTACCACAATCACTGCCGTAAATAACTGATGTAGTTCCAGTATTGGCTTATATAAATGTTTTAGTTTTGGGTAAGGGACTAGGATGACCAAGATTCCCAGGGGAGAAATATTTCATATAATATAGATCAGTATTTACAAATGTAATCTGTATTAATCTGAATCTGCAGGCTAGCCTATTAACTGATGCCACACTGAATTTGAAAATTGATTTCTACGAATTGGCTACCCCTTTGCCCTTTTTGTACACATCTGTTGTGACTTGTCCTACTTAAAACTTAGCTGCTTTTTTCAATTGTGATATCTGTGGATAACTACTGTTGAGCGTATCTTGGTATAAGATGAAAAAAATGGCTATTGTGTGCTATATGCAGTTGACTTTTTTTAGGCCCGATCAGTGAGAGAACTGTAAAACAGTAACACACACTGTTCTTAGTCTGACCTAATTCTTATGCTAATAGAATCTAGGTGATAAAAAACTGAATGTGGAATATTAAAAATGTTTATGTGGCTGTAAGATTATCTCATATAAACAGCTCATATAAAAAATTTGTTTATTTCTTAAGAAACAAAACATACTTCCTCCATGACAGGAATAAGAGGTAAGTTGCTCTCACTTAAAAAATATAAGCCCTTCTTATCCCATTTCACAATGTTGCTTTGCACAGTATCAATCCTACCAAGCTCAGAATACTTCTACGTACTTGTACAATGCTAATTTGAAAATACTCTTCCTTGAAAACACCACCACCTAGAATCTAAGCTTTGGAAAATACCACGTAAAGGAATAGATATTTTACTTTATATTTTTCATTGTGATTCAAATACATGTGCTTTTATAGGTATTATATTAATGGATTTTATGTGTTAGTTGTTTGGTTTTTAAAAAAATATTTTTCTAATTAAAGAAATATGCTTTGGTGGTCATGTTGGGTGAATGCCAATCTTCTCTGGGATATTATTTCCCTTCAGACCTGGTGCAGTAAATGATGAAATACTTGCAAATTCTTACTTTGTTTTAGCAGTCTGCACAGCCACAGGGTCCTTCAGGTTCCGTTCCCAGGGAAGTTTCCCACACAGCCACCGCAGCATGCAGTAGCCAAGGATCTCAACGTCACTTCGTCTGGACAGGGCTATAGGAGTAAGCATTAAGAGAGAAAGATGAGGGATAAGCAAGTTCTTGAGAAATGGAGAAATGTTTGAGTGAACTACTATTGATGAAATATGAAAAAGCCAAATGGGCAAAGTGTTTTGTTTGTTCAGCTGGAGTAAAACTTAAACGCCTAAGCATTTGGTCCCAGTCCACAGACAGGCAGTGACTTGTTGCTGTTGAAAGTAAGGGTCAGTTTCCTCAACCTCCTCCAACTTCATCTTTCCTTAGTCTGGCCTGTCACATGAACTTGATCCCCATGGCCTCTGACATGATCCAGACAACCCATAACCCGGCACCAACACTTTCTCAAAGAGCCAAGCAGTAAAACAAAGAAATAAATGTCTGCAGCTAAATTGCTAACATATGTTCCAGGAAGTCCATGGGGTCTGCACTGGTCATGCAGAGACCCTTTGAATGCAGACTAAACATTGATGGCCTTTCCTGTTCTACTCTTACTAGTAGGTTTGAAGTTAGAAGAATATGACAAAACTGCCATCTAGTGTGCAGTATTAAAAAACAGGTCTGTCTTAAGATTTTTCAATTATATGAAAATATAATAAAATATGCCTGTTCCTTTTGATATACAGTGCTAAAATTTTACAAATATTATTTTTAGATAAAAGCACCAACAAGCTAAAATTCCAGTCCCATATACTAAATAGAAAATATAAAAGTAAAGCAATGGTGTGAGGGGTTGGGGCACAGGTGGTGGGGAGTAGATTTTGAAGCCAACTAGAGGCTTTCAAAATTTAATATAGGATGGCTTTTCATGAAAAATATATTAAAAGAACATTTTCAGGCCCTTGTAAATATTTATATCAAGCTATTAAATGCTGTAGACTAATTTCATCATAATTTTCTAGATTTTAAGTGCCTTATATCAAAAGATGGACAATGAAATCTAAGAAACATGTCAAATATAACTGATACTTATTAACAAATCACTGAAGTAATGATTAAAACATTAGCAAATACCCATAAAATAAACTCATTTTTACAGCCATTCCAAATTGTTATAAAACAATAGGTTGGTATTTACATTTCTACCATTACTTGAATGTTCATCTGTGTAGGGATATATAAGCTCCTAAGAGCAATAAGAGGCTGTTAAATCTGCTGTAAACAGGTCTCCTATTTTATTACATTTCATTAAATAAACTCTGAAAAGTTACTCAGTGAACTTAGTTTTTAATTTAAAAAGTCATTTATTAAGAACAATGCTGCCAGCACATCATAACTTCTTTTGGTTACTATACATAAGTCATAAAAGCAGAAGACAAAATTAGCTCTTACACACACTCTATCTTAACTGCTATTAGAGTATTGGATTATTAAAGGCCCTTCAATCTCGTAGAATGCTATACAGTCCCATGGGTGCCATTTGCTTTCTGCACAAGCTTCAACAATGTCCTAATGCAAGACTTGGCTCTCATATTAAAATAAAAACACAATCTCTACCACACTGTTCTGTAGTGATTTCTTCAGTAATAAATCTCCCATTAATAATGGAATGGTTCCATTTGTACAGATGTGTTCACAAGTCCCTTTTTTCCATTATGGCAATTCCCAATTACCACCACTTAAAAAAATTCATATCCTCTAATTTTCAAAATATGATATTCTAGCACCTGTTTGGATGACACAGGTTACATACAAGAGGCCCTGTGAGAAAAAAACAACCAGAATTAAAATAGAATGAACCTTCCTAGCCACTTTCCCCCTCCCCCCCCCACCAACTGAGGGATTAATTGATATGAAGCTATAAGTAATGACAAGTCATTTAGATTTCTGAAGCCAATCTTTCATAAACTAGTCTTCATTTGAATAGCCCTTTGAGAGTTAACTTTACTTCACTATTATAGTTTGGTCTTACCTAATTAAAATACTTTATCACATTTTTCAATCTTTTCCTTATTTTCTTTTACTGCACATATACATCAATAACTATGGTTAGTTGAACGTTTTTGCCACTATTTCTACTAAGTCCTACAGAAATACACATAATGCTAAAAGGAACATCAAATAGTCACCCTTTTCTGTCATTAAAGAGATAAAAGCATTAAGTATATTTCTGAGTACATACCTCTATCTGAAATTCCCTCCCAGAGAAACAAATTGAAAAGTTTGACTTGTTTTAGTAAAGTTAAAATCTTAGACTCTTCCAATGATTATGTCTTCTTTCCAACTATTGTACACAGAAGAGTAATTTTAATGCCTGTTAAATTAATTAAAAACAAATATTCTAGATGACAATATTGGAATCTATGTGTGCATGTATAATTTATACAAAGAATTGATCATAGTTGAAGAGGAATATTAATATGTAACTATAAAAAATAATTTTTAATTTGAAAATTGCTTCTTTCATTACATAACTTTTAAATTCATTTTAAAACATGCTAAACAAAGCAGTAAATGGAAAAGAGCTCTAGACTAGGAAGGAGATACAATTCTGGCTCTACCACTATTACATTTTCAGCTCTAAGAACAGAGGATGCTGGGCAATATATTTCTTTTTAATATATTTTCATTCACTTGGATAGAAAACATACTATGGATTGTTTTGTTTCTGAGTCATCTATCTACATAATTTATTTATAATACATAAGGTTCTTCAGCTGCATTTGATAATTAATATAACCATTAACAGTATGTTTTCATATAGCTGTCCTAAAAATCAAACTTTTACTATTGTTTGGAAATGTAGTCAAATTTAGTTATTAATAAAATTTTTCCTATAAACATTCTCGAGTTATCTTCTAAATATTATTTAGCAACTGATTTATATTCAGCTTACTAATGTGGAGCAATGTAAATCACTGTTTGTTGAAAGCCTGTGGTATTTTCATTGTTCAACTTTTCTAAATTATAAAGTATTGCTGAGAGTAACAACAATAAAAAAGGCACAGGTGGGAACTTAAATTCTATTTCACTAAAAAGAAGATTCCAAAAACAGCTCACAGTGGAATGCATAATTAAAATTAAAAAATGACATGATTTATGGAGAGCTGCTACTATGCCAGGCATTCTACTTGTTTTTCTCATTTAATCATTCGAACAATATAAGGTATATATTATTAACTCTTAACAAATAAGAAAAATAAGAGTCTCAGAGAAGTTAAATAACTTACTCAATATCACAGAGCAAGAACTGACAGAGCTCAGAACTGAAATCAAAGTCTTTCAGAATCCAAAGCCTGTGCTCAATCTAACAATTAATTTGCCTCCGCTATTAGTTTTAGCACTATTCAAACATTACACACATGACTTCCATAGTGAGGGAAGTATTTAAAGCAGGCATTTTAACTTAAAACACTAAGACATACTGACACAAAAATAGTTGTTTTGGCAAGGAATAACTTAGCTGCATCACTGACCAACTTTTTCATGAAACCATCCTTTCATGAAATGATTTCTTTAAAGCTATTTCATTCCGATAAAGAAGGATCTCTAGTCAAAGTATTTATTTTTAAAGTGTTAAATGGTCCTTCCAAGCTGGTACAAGAACAACAGAGAAGTGATCTTAAAGAACTAGTGCTTATTCTAAAGACAAATTGGAATAAAATTAACCAGGCTCATTCACTAAATGGAACGAAAGAGGAATTGGAAGAAAAAGAAAAGACTAAGAGTTAATTCCAAAATTGTTCTGCTTATTTGCCTAAAGTGTTTTCTGTTTAGTTCTACTTCTCATACAGAGTAATATTATGGAGTATGAAGAAAACAAGGTTTGGTAGAAAATAATAAAGTGAACTTGATAACTTCTGCCTCAAGCAGACAGGGTTTAAATGCCCAAAATATTAGTATTTGTGCTCAGAAATGACAATAAGAAAGAGAAAACATCTGAATAAGATGCTCACCTGACAGGGTGAATGGTGACTATTTGCATAACAAATTTAAAGTTTGTTTTTAGTTTTCCAACTGGTAACCTATGTAATTCAGTGTTTTGTCAAATAGGATATATAAAAAGCTGGTAAATTTTATGGTGACCATGATTTACTGCAATTTCAAAAAGGATATTAGGAAAGTAGAATGCAATGCGTCATATTTCAAATAAAATATTAAACTCAGGTTTCTTATTTTTTCAGAACTTTTTAAATTCCAAGCCCTAGTTTTTTTGTGAAACACTACTGTGTGAAACTTAGGAAAGGTTACTCAACAGAGCAAAGGTATCTTACATTTGGCCAATGTATAATCTTAACCCAACCAAATAGTTCAACTAAAAAGCCAAGATATATGTCAAGACTTTAAAAGTCATGATTAAATGTAAAAAGTGGGCTTATGCCAATATAGAAAAAAGTATTCATTATTGGTTATGTTTTACCCAAAGACTATTTATAGCAGTCAAATTTACATGAAAGAAGAAATAAACAGTATGTTATTCTGACTACTAACATGCAACAGGGAATGTTAGTAATTTGATGGTTTACCTTACTATCTTAATCATAATAGAAAAATGGGTTACCTTTTTTGAATTATTGGTTAAGAAGATAAGTAGTGTGTAAACCATGTTATTTCCCCAAGTTTGGTAACATGAAAATACATTCTCAGTTTATTTCACATATATTCTGTAAGCTGAAGTATTAGAGTAAAATGAACCCATGCAAGAAATAACACAAGCCTTGGATTTCACATACCACAGCAATTGGCAAAAATAAAAAAGTATGTAATATATTTCTTTCCTTGATACTAAATATATTATGTAAACAAAAGGACAGTTAAAATGCAATTTAAATATATTTTATGGTCATCAATGATGTCAAATTAAAACAGGTATTATACACTCAATGCACAGGTCTGAAGTATTTAAAAAAGCTCAATATGTTAAATGCAGTATATCTCTAGAGAAATTAGGTATTGACTGCATGCCTCAGTGAGTAGAAAAATCTACAAAAATCTATATCACACATTGATCCAAATATTGCTTTTTAACATTCCTAAGAATGTAACAAATTTTAAAATAGTATATTTGACACAAATATCATTCTCTTTAATTATCAGGCAACAAGCCCAAACTATGTCAATGTTTATAAATGCTAGTTTTTATGAAGAATAAAAAATTAATAATGGAAGAAATAAGCCCAACATATATTACTCTGATTTTATACTAAATGAAGCACTTTAGCCACTTAGAAAATACCTCTAGGTCACACAAGAGAATTGAGTTTGGAAGAATAACCACAGTTTTCAAAATTATATGCAGATATATAGATGTGTGGCAGTTCTAGGAATAGTTATCTATCCATTCATCCATCTGTCCCTCCATCTCTAGCTATCTCTATGCATATTTTTTGGTTTGTGATAACACAAGATAATAGATAAAACGGTTTTTTCTTTCTTTCCCTTTCAACTACCCTCCTTTTACATGAAGTTGAATTAGAAAATGCTTAAGTGAAACGGCTGATTATAAAAACCCAATTAATCCACAGAAAAATGAGATTTAGCTTCATTTTTTGAATAATCACTACAAAAAGTAGGAGAGAGAGGATAGTCTGATCAGGTTAACAGTCCCTAGTTAGCACTTAACTCATAAGTCAGTTTTACACTGAAGCCTGCATATTTCTCTTGGCCTGACCAGACACAGATATATATACCTAACACTTTTGCTTTGACAACTAGAAGTTTTATATCCTAATGATAATATTTTTGCTCTTTATGCTGTCCTTTGCATTATCTTTCCTCAGTATTTATTTGATCTCATAGCTGGACTGGTATAGAAAAGATTTTTCTGAGATTAAACTACATAGTGACTGTACTAAAAGTAAACACATGAATATTTATAAATCTGACCTGCACTTACCTATAAAGATTTATGGCACTGTTTATTCTAGTTTCTAAATATGGCTAAATGATTATTTCATTTCTAATAAAATCCTAAACTGAAATGTTTTATTTTAGAAAATTAAATACAAAACATTAGGAATGAATATTATTCAAACATTTGAAGATATCAAACCTATTTTATACTCCAGACTAAAACTACATATTAAAATGCCAGCAAATATGTGTGTATATATCTATGTATGTATGTATATATGTGTATGTATGTGCATATATATGTATGTATGTATATCTGTATTTATATCTGAATCTGTTAATACATATATAGATATCGATATGCCTAGAAGTTTAGTGTAAATCCTATTTAAAATGCATTAAGAGAATGTACTATTTTATAGGAATCCCGAGAAGTCTCTGATAAAAATGAATATTCATTCCAGCATATAACTTTCTAGCAATTACCAAAAATATTCCTCTTGGGGATGTAATGTCATCTTTCTAGAATCATTCTCAGTTCAATCTTCTCCCCAAAGACCTAGTGTGGTGAAATCTACCCAACACATTCAACATGTATTATGATTTAGGGAGAAAAAAATTTAAGTAGGCTACAGAATAAAAATCTGTTCAAATCTTTCGTGAAGACAGTACAATGAAAACACCACCCTAAACTATGAAAGTAACTGAAAAGGACTTTCAGAATTACCGCAGTCCAAACACTGACCAGACCAACGCATAACAAGTCTACTTCCCCTTCATAATCACAGCGGTTTCTTGGCTATTTTAATACTCAGAACCAGATTGGAGCCATAGTAGAGCTATCGGTTAAAATAATAAGTGGCCCAATCACAAGCTGGTATCATTTTTAATATAACTGGACCAATGCTTATGAATTTGTATGATGAATTCCCAGTTATACCACTATCTAAAAAGGACTTTAAGGCTTCTGAAAATTCTATTAGGTATAATAGAATAAATCTGACAAAGATGAAGAATGGAATTGACTGAGAGTGAAAGAACTTTAAATTGAAAAAAAAAAACTATCAATGAGCATTTAATTCTTATATTTCTTAATTTAATTAAAGATATGTCTCATTTTATCTTTAAGTATTCATTGATTTATAACAATGTGAATGGCAAAAAATTATTCAACACTACAAAATTTCTGAGTGATCATTATTTTTTAACCAAACTATACTTGAAAAAAAATGTAATGATTTCTTTTACTCTGATCAGGAATATAAAAGCTAACTTCCATTTCAGAAAATTTAACCGATGATTCTTTCTCAAAAGAAAGTATACAACTGATATACTTGTTTCACTTCTTCACTGGCCTACCTTAAACTAGCGTGGATTTTAATTGCTCTGGAAAATGATCAAGACCTTCTATATTACATGGTCAATGGACCTTTTAATAGAAAAGGCAATAATATACCATTGTTTTCACCAACTAAAACTTGTTAGAAAGTATCAGTTTAGGGTTCAACAACCATTAATAAGTGCAAATGTCTAATTGCTAAGTGAAAATGTGGTCCTTTCAAAGCTGTTTAAAAATTATTTGTTTGGTTTAGCATATTTGAAAATACTTTTATAAACAAAGTTTACAAAGAATATAATTTTGAAAGCCAAAGTTTTTCAATAATCACCATTTTTTCACTAGCATAACATTAGAATTGACTTTTTGTCTTGCTGACAGAGCAACTAAGAAAGTACAGTTGCATTGACCATATTGATTGTGAACAAAGCAACCATCAGTGGGACTCTGCACCATATATTTTCAATATTGACCTTCTACTTCCTTTTCCATGGCTTTCTGGGTCGGCTATTGGATTTGGACTGCAGTGTAATAAACAGCTAAGGTTTAATTAATGGTAAATGAATACAAGACATAGGTTATGACTTTAACTAATTAGGGAATTGTTGAATTAAGTCTGCCTTGGAATGCAAGGCAGTACAATCAATATCCAATAAAAGGACTATGTATGTAATTTACCTGCAAATGTGTTTCCAATACCATCAAAGTGAGTTTAAATAAGTAAGATATATGAAAGGCAACTAGGAGAGATTTCCACAAGTTAACACTTTATAGTTTCAGAAAAGATATCCTTATTGTTAGGAGATGGTATCTTCTAAAGCTCTGATAATGGCACAATGGAAAAACAGGAATAATCGTTCACATGTGCACCTTTACTAAATCTGTGATATTCACTACAGCATAAAAATTCAGTGCTGACCTCCAAGTTTAACCTATACAAACTAGTGATTTTCTGGCCAAAATGAGCATCAAGTTTTGCTATGTTGACACCCCTTTGCTCCCGCATCGCTCGTCCTAGTCTATATCTCCTCCCACTGTTAGAAGAAATATTAATTGGCATAACAGGAATTCACTACTTTTGAAAAACAATCTTACCAGTGCTCTCATTCTTCAAACTAACTATTCAAAGGTCATTTCATGCAGCCTTATTACCCTTGACTCTAATCATTCTTCTGAAATAAAAATAAGGAAAAGAAAAAAGAAACTCACCTACTCCCTTATGGGCATCCAAGCTAGTAAACTCTATTGTCCCATTATGGCCTTTTCTAGGATTTTCCTGATACTGTTTGTGGTTCCCACTGGGACAATATCTGTAGGCAAGTCCATAATCTGCAAGATAAACCTGGAAGACATGAACAGACAAATGAATAATGCTTTTGTCCTCTGAAAATATAACCTTTTTAATTAAGTCTTAAGAAACTGATAGGTTAAGAACAGCCTCAGATCTACATTTTATTAAACCAAATGGTACCTTAGAATAAAGTACATACAACTGGGGGCCATAATAACTAACTTTCCAACTTAAATCCTTACTTCATCATTGGCATATCTTATTTCTGAGTTGACTTAGATTTTTAATCTTTTTATTTTGCTCCTAAATTCCCTTCCCTCCAGGTGGGCATCTAGATATCATAAACCACAATATGTCTTTTTATCTGTATTCATGCAGTTTATGAGACTCTGCCTTTTCTTGTAACCCTTCCCTGAAACATAAAACTGTTTCAAGCAGGAAGGAGAGATGAGAGCAAACATTAAAAAAATATACAGTTGACCCCTGAACAACTTGGGTTTTAACTGTGTGGGTCTACCTTTACACAAATTTTCTTTTGTCTCTGCCACCCCTCAGAGAGCGAGAGCAAAACCAACCTATTCCTCCTCCTCCTCCTTGGCTGACTCAGCGTGAAGACAATGAGGATGAAGACCTTTATGAGGATCCACTTCCCCTTAATAAATAGTAAATATATTTTCTTTTCCTTATGATTTATTTATTATTTTTTAATTTCAAAATATTAAGGGGGTACAAATGTTTTTGTTACATGAATACCTTGTATAATGCTTAAGTCAGGGCTGGTTTTCTTAATATTATTTTTCTATAGCTTACTTCATTGTAAGAAAAAGTATATAATACATATATCATACAAAATATGCATTAACTGTTTATCTTATTGGTAAGGTCAACAGTAGGCTATTAATAGTTAAGTTTTGGGGATTCAAAAATTATATGCAAATTTTCAACTATGCAGGGGGGCTCAGAGCCCCTAACCCAGCATTGTTCAAGGGTCAATTGTAAATCTAATGTTACAAGTGTTGTATTAACAAGAAATATAAAAATAGTGAATAGACTATATGAAGCAATGACTCAAAAAAAAAAAAAACCCAGAAAATACCATCATGTTATCTG